GGGGATAGCTTAGGCCGCTGGAAAAATGCCACATTCAAAGCATTGCAATCTGATCAGGCGTGGCCTTAGTGATCAAGCATTGCAGCTAATCTGCAAAAAGATTCCCATTGGAATACAAATTAAATTTTATTCCTGCTATGAGAACTATACAGGGTGTATATAAAAAAACTGAACAGATTTGAAATTGCTCTCAATTTCGCAAAACAGCTATCAGTATCCAGTTTTTTATATGTATAGCTTCTTTGGGTACTTATAATGTAGAATAATGAAAACAATTTCTCAAATTCAAATTTTGTGAACAAGGGGGGGGGGGGATCTTTTCCAACAAACTAAAAATGACTTGCGCATGAAATTTAAAAGCTTTAATCATATTTTGAGCTAACAGATGGAATATCTGTTGGGTTTTTAATTAATGTACAAACTTTCGGACAATTTGGTTTTGTTTAAGTCCTTTAACTATTCACGCAAACTTACATTTTTCCTAAAAATCAGCTATTTGCATGCTATTTAATGCCTGTACCTAATTTGCATATGTCAGCAATATGCAAATTAGGTAAAGGCATTATTTAAGCATGCGAAAGGCTAATTTTTTAGGAAAAAAATGAATAGTTAAAGGACTTAAACTAAAGCAAATTGTCTAAAATTTTGCACTGTAATTGAAAACCAAACAAATGTTCCATCTAATAACTCAAAATATGATTAAAGCTTTTAAATTCTGTGCGCAAGCCGTTTTTAGTTTGTTGGAAAAGACACACCCCCTGGTTCGCAAAATTTTATTTCGAGAAATCTTTTTCATTATTCTACATTATAAGTACCCAAAGATACTATGAACATAAAAAAATGGATACTAATAGCTGTTTTTCAAAATTTAGAGCAAATTCATATCTGTTCAGTTGTTTTTTTATACACCCTGTATAATTAGTGCGGAAAATATGGACATGATTAATGTTACGAGACAGGTTGCGCGCGTTATTCACAAAAATCGAAATCATGCACGGCCTCTATTTTCTATCAACTGGGCTCAAAATCGGCACATACTATTTTTTTTATTAAACTTTCGTTTATTTTGGTAACGAAAGGAAAACGCACTCACACCATTCGAAAAATTTTCTTAAGATATGGTACGTGGTGAAACAAAGGAAAGTCAAATGATACCTCTACAAAAGTGTGTGCGGTAGCTGTAGGTTTTATTTTTTTCTTCGTGATATGCAACTTTCTTTTTAATCTTTCGTTCTAACTAAACTGTTTTGTTTTCATGGAACAATAAGGAAAAAAAAATGAAAATGGATCCTTATTACTAATAGCTACACACCTTGGGTCTTGGACGAAATTCGAGATAAATTAATAAACATTTTTGAATCTCGAATTTTTGCTGAAAATTCATCACGCTGAAACGAAGGCAATACGTTTTCCGCGTAGTTTTCGATTTTAAGAGCAAATTCACCACCCGTTTCCTCGTAATGAAAGCATGGTGCCACCTTGTAAAAAGAAGCTGATTATTGTCATGGTATAACCGAGCTTCAATTACATTTGGTGATAACAGTAAGATAGCTAGATCGCGCTTTTTAGTTTGGTCACACACATAAAAATCTCACAACTTGTGTTCGCAACAGGCTTGTATATAGCAAGCTTTTCAACAATATTGATATTTCTATAAATTTGGTACAAGGTTGTCACTCACAACTTGTTGACAAATTGTTGAAATGCAGAACGATAACAAGTTGTTGGAACAACTTGTCAACCTGTGACAAGTCCGTTGAGCTCAACAACGTTATATCAAGTTGTCAACAAGCCATTGGCAACTTGTCCACAAAGCTGGGAACAAACAATGCAAACAAAAGCTGTTGAAAAGTTGTCGTAATAGCATTGCAGGTTTGTTACAACTTATGCGTTTTTGTGTGTGAGCATGAAGCATTCGACAATCACCACAAAGTGAACTATTTTACTTATGGCATTGAAGGCAAAACACAGATTGCTGCCACGACAACCCTCGTATTTAACACCATGCTACAAGGGCTTACGATCTCCACTGCTGCATGCATGTCAACACATGCATGCATGTACATGCATGTCCGCGCAAAAAAATTTCAATCAAGTTTTAAACGTAATTAAACATCTCGAAAAGCATACATTTTATCAATATTTAGTTTTAACCATATAAAAGATCCGGGCTTCATAAATATAAAAATACAACAATGTTAATTTTTCCCTTCCTATAATTATCTCGTAAAACCTTAAGAAATAAAAAAGGAATTTTAGGCTTGCAATATTATTTTGGAATACATACGTGCCAAGCTCCTGTCCCGTAGGCTTTTCCGTACTGTTGCTCTCAAGGTACTCAATTTCCAAACTTCTATTGTACGAGTAAAGATTCCGCACGCCGAGTGTAAATGCAAAGAAAATTCCCAAAAATATCGTTAAAAATTTGCCAATGTCTTTGATCATCCGTAATGTCGAAAGCTGCAACGGTCCAAAAACGGAGTTTACTTGGCACAAACTACCCAGATAAAAAACGCTGATCACCGAAGAGATCGAAAACAAGCTGTTGGCAAGAAGTAGAATTTGGTGCCCTGTAATATCCCAGTGTGACGCTAATTTAGCGGCTGACCATCCTCCAATCGCTGTTGAACCAATCACCATGAGAAAGGCAGATGCCACGAAACCCATCAGCATTACTGTTAAAACGCAGTTCCACCATTTATAAAAATAGCAGGACTTTTCCTTCATGATTTTTCGAGTTTGTTCAGAAACCATTGCCAGAACGAATGCAAAAATCAAATATTCTGCCAACAAACAAGAGTATCCGTATTGTTATAGAAATTGGGGGTATTATTGTAATTTAAATTGGGCAAATGATAATTAATACAGGGTGTCTTAGAAAATGTCCCCTTTTATCTGCAGGCGTTTAAAAAATACCATATCTTGTCATTCCAATGATACCTGACTGATCAAAATAACCAACCGTTTGCTTTCTGCAGTAGAATCGGTTAATGAGGCAATACTATTTAAATATACTAACTTACTTCTCCAAATTACGAAAAATGTTTTTGTAGTAGCTTTTTATAAAAGTATTTTTAATTAATCCTTTTCGAAAGGATTTTGAAATAAAATGCCTATAAAAATACTTATATATTCTCTAAAACTGAAAATTTGTGTCCCCTACATCAAGATTTAGTTTTATGTAAAGATCAGTAGAATTAAGGCAGAAACCTTGACAGGGTGGGCTAAATGCCCTAAATTTGCTGGTTTTCTAAGAACCACTCGCTGACACGCCGTCGTCTTTCTCATGCCAGAAAAAGAATCTCTGTTAAACATATACAGCGCTTACGTACTCTAATTTTATTCCTGTCAAATGCAAAAAATTGAGACCCTAATAATGTAAAAAGCATGTCTGACAAGAGAATATAATTTTAAAGGGGAATTTGGTGATATTTTAGGATGAAGGTAAGCTTCTTCACACTACTGTATTATATTGGAGAAAATATTGGAGCATGGGATCAATGCAATAATTATAATTATATACTAACCAGTTGCTCTTGGCTCATGACTGTCTCTTAAAGACGAGAGAACCAGCAGAGTAACAAAAACACAAAATTGTGAAGTATGGCTCACAAACTTGCCAAACGGTGTACCCATATAATGCGATATCTTGCAATCTTTCGACGAATCAAAAATGAATATACATGCCCAAATTGGAAAAGTTATGGTGTACAAGACATATAGCAAAAGACCACTGACAAAATTTCTGGCAGGACAGTCTTCATACACGATTGTATATAACAATTGTTGAACATATCGATGTGCAATAAACTATATAAAATTAAAAACATTCAAGTATTAGTTTAAGACAACACCCCTTATTATATATAAATTCCTGTTTATCATGTTTCGCTCGCTACTCTGGTTTAAATAAATGATTACAAAGCCCAGTCGAATTGTAATCAAGACCCAACGTTTCGACACTCCAGTCTAGTGTCTTCATCAGGGGTGATCTAAAATTGCAATCGTGGCTTCTTTAATACCCAAGGGATGACGTCAGGATCTTTTGGCTCCTGTTAAAACAAATCAGAAAACTCATGCTGTATATTCTATACCATGCGGTTACTGCGAGAAAGAGTATTTGGGTCAGTCTAAACGCCAGTTTGGCACACGGCTAAAATAACATCAAAAGGCAGTTTCAACTTTAGACAAGGAAAAATCAGCTCAAGCGCCGAACATGTATGTTACACTAAACACGAGATTGCGTGGGAAAACTCTAAAGTAATTACCACAAACAATCGCTATGGTCAAAGACTTTGCTTAGAAGCGTGGCATATAAATATGAGTAATCATGCTTTGAATA